AAAAGAACCAATATTAAATTCATTTCCTAATGTCAAAAACGCATTTTATTCCTGTTACTCTTTTAAATAAAGGTGCTTTAATAAGTGAATTACATTATGGACCATTTTCACGTTATTGGTGGCAGTCTTCTGATAATGAAAAAGTGTTTCCTATTCGCATTGGACAAAGAATAGTAACTAATCTGAATGGGCATGACTTTTACATTGAAATAGTTCACGGGAATAAAGAAAACTGTCATCTTCCGGGTTACATTTGTGAAACTAAGACTGCTTGTAGTGCTAAAGAAACAAGCCCCACAAATGCAATTTCTAGTATATATCAACTAATGTTTGATAATGTGGTGACTAAATTTTCTGGTCCACAAGTTATGGGATGGAATGATGAAGAAATTGTCAATAAGCTTTTGATTATTGAATCTTTTTGTCCTTTTTATATTTTTTTAGGTGATTTGAAAATTTTCATCCACTCAATAGGACGTTCGGAGGAACAACATTTAAAAAATGGAGGGACTGGTTATCAATCATCACTTATTTATAAATACAAACAAAAGCAATCATTATTTGTTTCAACAATAGAAGATGATGTTTGTATTATCAAAATTTACCATGAACATGAGATTATAGATTCATTCGAAGATACATCACCAATTGAAGTTTGGAAAAAAACTAACTATATTCAAAAATATGATGGCTATCAACTCTTTGGTTTAGATAATATTATTGTTCAAGATTTTATTAAAAAATATAAAGTTCCAAAATGTACACCAGATGAATGGGATAATTTTTCACTTATGAAAAATCTTTATGACTACAATTTGAAGAGAAGGGCTTTTGCCAATATAGAATGGCATAAATTTTTTACTAATTGGTTGGAGAAGGAAAGTACAGTGATTGAATTGTTTTCTCAGCTTGAAATGATTTACCAAAAAAATTATGCAATAAAAGAACGAGAATTATATGCATGGCAGGCAATGTTACGTGCATCAGGCTGTCATAATATCACACCATGGACCCAAGATGAATCAAAGGTAACATCAAACATCTATTAATTTGTTTATCATTCAAAAAGACTAATATTAGTTTATTAGTTACAATTATGGACAAAATCTCCAGATCATATCACAGAAAAATCCACCATTCATTCTCTCTATAAAATGGGTTTTTTGGTAAGTATGCCTATTCATATGTCAAACAATACTAACACTTTCTGGCCCTGTTTTAAGAAAGTTTTGAAAGGCAACAAAAAAAATCAAGATGGAAAACGGCATACATTATCAATTATTGCAAATGACTTCACCTACCAAGAATTAAAAACAAATTTGAATGTAAGAGATTATGATTAGATAACATTTTCATTTGTATAATAATAAATATCTTAGAAATTAACTAAATGACTTGTCTCAAGGTTGGTGAACATACAATCTTAGAGGCACGTAAACATGCTGATATGTATGGACCTGGTGCACCACCTTTATCTAAACCAGTTATCACAAGAACAAGATTAAATGAAGAGCAATTGAAGCAATTTGAATTGTTTTTCAATGACAAAGCAAATGTTAATATGAGTTCATATAAGACAGAAACCAAAACAGGGTTACCTGTGTTATACTTACAGGATTCTAAGAGCTCTTTATGGGAGAAATTTCATGAAGAATATCCAAATGGAATGCAGCATACTGCATTCATGAGCAGACTTCAAGGGGGTAGATATATATATAAAGAGAATATGGGAGGCCTTTGTTCTATTTGTAATGAATATGGATATGAAGTTTTTTCAGAAATTGAAGACATTTTGAAAAAAGACATTGAGAATATTCACCTTCAGGTATTTGCACTGACACATCAGCATTTGTTAATTATTTTATATTCAAGTACTGACTATGTTAAATGTTAATATCAATAATTAGAAAAAATTAATTGAAGGATTGCAAACCTTGAAAAGATATTTACAAAAAGACATTTCAAAAGAGTTTATTGTTAATCCAGCAGGAGAAGCTCTTCATAGTGATTGCATTAGTCATTGCCTCCTTTATGCATTTGGGGAATGTAATCATATGCATTCAAATATTTGTAATAGTTGCAATTTTTTTTTTGAATTATTTGATAATATTCAAAATAATGTTAGTGCAGATCTCCAATCAATTATTGAAGAATATCAAAAAAAACTAATTTATTTTATGGGACACCATGCAAGAAAAACATACCTAAATGCTCAATTAAAAGCAAATTTGGCTAAATTAAATCATGAAGAAGCCTTGTTTATTGTAGACTACAAGATGAAAATATTGCCTAAAAATGCATGAGAGACTAAATCAGAGTTCTATGGTAAAAGAGGATGGACATTACATTCAGTATTAGTATATACTAAAGAAATTGGAAATGAGAAATTGAAGATTGATGCTTACGATCACTGGTCAGATGATACAAAACAAGATGCCTGGTTTACAGCATCATCCTTACATGCTGTATTAGAAGTTATAGACCCCAAGCCAAAAAGGATAACTGTAATGTCAGACAATGGTCCACATTACCACAATACCGAATTGATGATTATATTATCTAAATGGAAGGAATGGTATGATGTTAGTGTGAACAAATGGATTTTTCTGGAAGCTGGAGAAGCAAAAACACCAATAGATTCTCATCATGCAACAGTAAATATACTTTTTGTTTGTAGTTTTTTTATATTCCACATTAATCTAACCTTGAATTTCAGTTAACACATGCAATAAATTGTCATGTAAAATTTGGCTTTACCATTGAATCTGGTGAAGATATTGAGATGGACATAAAAAATACAGCCATAAAAAATACAGCTGGTATACATGTGGCTAATTTAGAACCAAATAGAGTAAAAGGTAAATAAAATATTCTCACTATTGAATGAGATAACAGATATTAAATTACAAATAATTCTTTGAAAGATAAAACTAAAAAATTAGGTACGATAGCTGGCATCACCAATTGGAATGAATGGGTATGGCCTGATGAAGGTGTTGAAAAAGGTTATATTTTTGCACGGCCTTTACCAGGAATTGGCTCTTGGATAAAATTTTCTCCCCAAAAAAATGGAAATATTCTAAAGAATTATTCTATCGAAAAACCCAATCCAAAAATAAGTCAACACACACACTCAGATAAACCATGGACAATGCCATTTGTGGAATACAAAGGTATAATAATTGCATCTGTAATATACAGTGTGATTCAAAAAAAATGGTGGTTTGTAAAATATTGTTTTTAATGAAAAAGTAGCCAAAATTATGTAATAAAAATTATACCAGAGAATTGGAAGATCTTGGATTATAATATAGAAAAGTTTTGAAGTATATTGTTATGTGGGCTTTAGAGCAATTATTAAAGAAATTTACACATTTGAATGGTTTTTTCAAATAATCAAATTCCTTTTATTTTCAATTGACAAAATTCTAGAAAATCTGGAAGTGTGAAACTTTATATACATAATCTCCAGAACTTTTGCTATAGACTGGTATGATTTTTTATATAATTATTATGTATATGCTTGTGTCAGAGCTATCATTAAAAAATTCCATGTTAAAATTTCAGGGACAAAAATTTAGCAAAGTTCTAAAAAAAATCTATGAATTAGCTTTAGAGAAAATTGGCAATAGCATTTCATGTTTATTTTTTATTATTTAATAAAGTAAATGATAAAGCTTTCAAATGAATCCAATTTCATTCAACTATGTTGTGTAATTGTTGAGATATGTGATATTTTTGTGACCACCATTTTTTTTGAATCACACTGTATATTTTATTTACTGATTGTGATTTTTTTTTTAATATTAGAAAATCCCATAGAAGAATGTGATATTGAAGTAGAGGTGAAAATAATCTAAATGAAAATTTTATCATTAAAAAATCTAAATATTTTTATTATTCTAATTTATAGGATCAAATGATAATTGATTATGAAGAAAATTTGGAGTTAGATCAGTCTAAAAGGTTAATTATTGATAATTGATGACATTTATAATCATATAATTTTTTCTTACCTTAATTTTGCAATAGATTATTTGTTTTTGGGTGGGCTTTAAAAGAATTTCAAAAGAATCAAAAACCACCAATTAAAAGAATGAGTCCAAAGGTAAAAAACTTGCTAGAAATTATGTTTCATACAGGAACAGTAAATCCAAACCAAAAAATGACAGCTGATAATATGCACGAAGAACTTTTGGAACATGTGAAGAACGAAGAGCTTGAAGAAGAAGAAATTCCAAAGATTTCGACCATTGTCAATTGGATAACTAGAACCTATGCATGTTGGAAAAAACAAATGGCAGAAGAAACATTGGACATATCTCATTCATAAATTTAATTTTTGGTCAATAAAAACAAAATAAAATAAATAATTTAGTTTTACTAATTTTTGGTCCAATAAAAACGTATAAAATAAATTAAATAATTTAATTTTACTAATTTTTTGAGCTCGAATCTGTCTCTCCCACTAAGTAAAGTCTTTCTCAAGACAAATGTTTAAAAATTTTTTTTGATACATAAATTAAGATAGATAATATGCAAGTCATCACGTGATTAAAATTTTAGGTTAATATATTTTTTTGTGGATTGCAATAAATCGTCATGTAAAATTTGGCTTTACCATTGAATCTGGTGAAGATATTGAGATGGCCATAAAAAATACAGCTGGTATACATGTGGCTAATTTAGAACCAAATAGAGTAAAAGGTAAATAAAATATTCTCACTATTGAATGAGATAACAGATATTAAATTACAAATAATTCTTTGAAAGATAAAACTAAAAAATTAGGTATGATAGCTGGCATCACCAATTGGAATGAATGGGTATGGCCTGATGAAGGTGTTGAAAAAGGTTATATTTTTGCACGGCCTTTACCAGGAATTGGCTCTTGGATAAAATTTTCTCCCCAAAAAATTGGAAATATTCTAAAGAATTATTCTATCGAAAAACCCAATCCAAAAATAAGTCAACACACACACTCAGATAAACCATGGACAATGCCATTTGTGGAATACAAAGGTATAATAATTGCATCTGTAATATATATTTTATTTACTGATTGTGATTTTTTTTTTAATATTAGAAAATCCCATAGAAGAATGTGATATTGAAGTAGAGGTGAAAATAATCTAAATGAAAATTTTATCATTAAAAAATCTAAATATTTTTATTATTCTAATTTATAGGATCAAATGATAATTGATTATGAAGAAAATTTGGAGTTAGATCAGTCTAAAAGGTTAATTATTGATAATTGATGACATTTATAATCATATAATTTTTTCTTACCTTAATTTTGCAATAGATTATTTGTTTTTGGGTGGGCTTTAAAAGAATTTCAAAAGAATCAAAAACCACCAATTAAAAGAATGAGTCCAAAGGTAAAAAACTTGCTAGAAATTATGTTTCATACAGGAACAGTAAATCCAAACCAAAAAATGACAGCTGATAATATGCACAAAGAACTTTTGGAACGTGTGAAGAACGAAGAGCTTGAAGAAGAAGAAATTCCAAAGATTTCGACCATTGTCAATTGGATAACTAGAACCTATGCATGTTGGAAAAAACAAATGGCAGAAGAAACGTTGGACATATCTCATTCATAAATTTAATTTTTGGTCAATAAAAACAAAATAAAATAAATAATTTAGTTTTACTAATTTTTGGTCCAATAAAAACGTATAAAATAAATTAAATAATTTAATTTTACTAATTTTTTGAGCTCGAATCTGTCTCTCCCACTAAGTAAAGTCTTTCTCAAGACAAATGTTTAAAAATTTTTTTCAATATATAAATTAAGATAGATAATATGCAAGTCATCGCGTGATTAAAATTTTAGGTTAATATATTTTTTTGTGGATTTTTTTTGTGCTGCATTTTATGGTCATTTTAAAAAACATAGTAGATCGTCAAATTTTTACCCAAAATTTTAATAGTATTTTTCTGCCGTTTATAAAAGGATCGGCAATTAAAAGGAAAATAATTTGATAGTTAAAGGGAATTTCGATTTATACAGAATATTCTTTAAACTACTTTTTTATTTTCAATCAAGATCATCTTTTAGTCTCTTTGACTTCAATTTGAGCCACTAGTTGACCATTCTGTTGTTGTAATTGAGTTAATTGAGTTTTTAATTTCTTTTTCATAAGCAGTTACTTTATCAACCAGTTCTTGTGGAGTTAACTTTTTCAGCCTTTCTAATTCGGCTTTTAGTCTGTTTATCTCATCCAAAAGTTCCTGTTTCTGTCTCTTACCCCATTCTTTGGACTTTTCTTGAAACTTGGCTACTTCCTCCCTTTCTATAGCAATGGTTCATTCGGCTTCATTTAGTTGTTCTTGTAAAGAGTTTATTTGCCTTTCGTAAAAAGCAGACTGACTTATTTCTTCATGAGGTAAAAGAGGGAGTTCTTTCTCCTCCAAATCTTCATTGTTTCTAATACAGTAGCAAACATTCTTGCCAGTAACAATATCAAAATCTAACTTAGTTTGTAATCTGCCACACCTATCACACTTTAGCAATTCATCATTTCAATACTTTTCTTCACAACTTTCACAAACCATGTCATCTGCAATTCATTCCCTGATTATTTTAGTGCGAGTCCTTATTTGATGAACAGATGCATTATTTCTGTTTTCTAGTTTAGAACAAAAATCACAAGTTTGCTTACTTTCTTTCTCTAATTCTAAAATTGTGTATTCCAGTTCTCTCATTGTAATCTACTTGTTATTTAGACTTTACTTCTACTTGAGCAATCATTTCTTGGTTGTGAAACTTTTCCTTTTTTACTAGACTTTGCAATTTTTGAATCTTAACTTTTGCTTTTATTTTTAACTGCTTAAACATGCTCTGTTTAGTCAAGAATGATTTATTTTCTTCTTCAACAGGTAGAGCAGGTAAGGGTTTGCTGTTTAAATAGTTCAAACTCTTTAAACTTTCATTTTGTGACTCACTATCAGATAATTGCTTACTTAGTTTTTCTATTCTTTTGCTCTTTTGGCTTGACTCTTCCTCTAACTTTTCAACTTGGGCTTCTAAATAAGAAATCTTTTCACTATTGCTTTTGAGTTTCTTATTTTTTTCTATCATATCTTCTGCTTGAGCTTTACTTCATTGTTCACCAACTTCTACAACTTTCTTAACTTGTTCCTGTTCTATTTCTACTCTCTCTTCTAATTTTTCTACTTCTGTTTCCAAATTTGCTTGTCTGTTTCTAAAACCTTAATTTTCTCTTTATATTCTTGATTTTGTTTACTTAGTTCCTCACATTCTAATGCTAATGCTCTTTTCTTTCTAAAAACTTCTTGGGGTTTGATTACTCATCAATGAATATTCTTTCAACCTATTTAGCCATTCTCTTTAACTGAAAAACCTATTCTTTCTTTTCATTCTTCTTGATTAAGCAATTCTGTTATTCTTTCATCAGAAAATTTATCATTATGAAGCACTATATCAGCAAGGATTTTACCCATGATCTCATTTTCTTTGATTGCTTTATCTTTATCAGCTAACTGCTTTTCTAAATCAGCAATTTTATTTAATGGTTCTTTATTTTCTTGTTGTTGTTCATTTATTATGTTTTTCATGATTTTTGTTTATTTAATATACTTATATCCTTAATTTATAAGAGTATATAAATTATTTTAGTACTTTTTTGCTTTAAAAGTGGAAAAAGCTAACAATATTTGTCAAAAGATTAAACTTATTAAACTTAATGAGAGTAAAGGACAAATTAACAGGTGTGATAAAGTAATAAAGGTGTTTGTTCTAAATATTTTATTTGTTGCCAGTATAGAATGGTCTTGGACAAGTAATATCTTTGTATTCATCTTTCACAAATGGACGAATATTCTGGTAAAGATATTCTTGTCTTTATAATCCAAAGGAGGTGGTGTTAACACTAAAATAGATAAAGCTTTAATTTCTTCAAAAATATCTGCTTTCTTGGTTTTCAATAAATTGAATTCAGTAAAAGGTCCATTAGCAACTTCTTGAACTTTCACTGTACCGAGATTAGATGCTTCAAAAAGAAAATGTTGATATTTCTGGATGCTTGGTAATTTCCTAAAATAAATCCCCAAAATAGCTTTAATATCTAAATATTGAAAACCTTTTCCACCTTCATAACACTGAGTTTTATTTAATCCAGCTGGGCTAGACTTTTTTATCACATCAACTACGTGGACCAGACAATCTGTTCTTATTCTTCTATAGAGTTTTTTAATCATGCCAAAATTACCATCACATTTGAATTTGGTATGTCCTGGAATCATGAAATTCAATTCAATACTTTCATAATATCCACAAATTACTAAATACAGGTAAAACCAAATAGTGGTGTTATTTTTATTCTGTCCATTAGCATTATCACAAGTAATCTTTAAATGCTTTTCACCTTTATTTAATTTTTTAATTCCATCAAAAATCATGCTAAGAGTGCCATTAGGACCTTTACTTATGATTTCATCTTCATTAAGAACATAATTGATTTGTTTCCTTACTGCTTCATCTTGAATACCAAATAAATGAACTTTACATGGGCTAAGATAATAGATTTTACTTACTTGTTGATCTAAATGTGGCACATGAACATTTTGGGCTCAATCATAACTGTAATGTGCAGTAGCATCAATGCTGCAATATGGTGTTTTACCCTTTTAATAATTTTGATTAACTAATTTTCTTTGTTCTTCTGCTAATTTGGTGTTTTTATTATAATAATTTCTTTCTAATTTGGTTTTGGACAAATGTTCTTTAAATCTTTTCAGTAAATCTTTAGTTTCTCCCTCTTGGCAAGCATTGTAATGTAAACCATCTCTAAAATGTTGACAAGTATCACACAAATCAGTTCTTGGACTCATGATTTGAATTTCTGGTGTCAATTGATGTCACAATTTTCTGAAAACATCATATTTTAAGGATTTCAATTTGCTATCTTCTTCCAGACCAACCAGAAAATCTCTGTGGACTGATTTGTAACTCATTTCAGCTGGTAAGAATACAATTGATTGAGTTATCCTATTAATACTTCTTCCTGGACTTGGTAATCCATAGACTTCTGCATAATTTTCTAGAAAATTCTTTACTACTTCTGCAATATCTTTATCAATCACCATCTTAGTTTTTCATTGAGGCATTCTTTTTATGTTACCATGAATTCTTGGTAAAAGACCATTGTTTATCAGATAATTTCTAAGATTCTCAAAATAAGTTCTACCAATGCCCAACATATTGAGATAAGTTTCTTGACAAAGGGGTGTATTATGATCCCAGTGATAGAAAGTTCTTTTATTTGATCTAGTTTTCTTCTTAAGACATCTGCTGGAGCTTATAGATACACCATCCATTGCTTTAAGTTGGACCATCAAAAATATGTCTTGTTCAGACTTGGAAAGAGTCTGAAAGGATTCTCTTAATCCTGCAAATTGTTCCTTGGGAATTCTTGAAGAACAACCACAATTACAACCTTTTTCTAAAAAATCAAGTGCTTTTTGATATTCATTAGAACCATCATTATATTTATTATTACTTTTCATATACACTTATCCCTATATATAATTTTATGTTCACTTTGTAGGTTCCTTTGATTATTTTAAAATCAAAGGTTTTAAGATTGTATGGAATAGAATTAAATTGTGAATTTTAACATTAAGTTAAGTTTGGATGGAAAGTCTGTGTTCATTTCATTATGAAAAACCTTGTCAATCTTGACCAAAGAAATACAAATAAGGAAATTGTTTGCATAAAAAACTACAAACCTTTCTTATATATATGTATATTATCTTTAGTTTTACAAATATATCATTTTTGTTTTCAAATGAATTTAATTGCAATTGGGTGAAATTAAAAGTAATTATGATTGGCGTGTACAGTCGCACCTGTCTATTTGCATACCGTATATTTGCATAATCTGTTCATTTGCATAAAGGTAGCTTAGTCCCACATTGGGACTTATGAACTATTTGCATAACATAAATGTGCATATGCATCAAAAGTGATCCTGATTCTACTAAGTCCCCACTACGTATATATGCATATTTATGCTATAAAAGGAAAAAGATCAACTAAAATTTATTTTATTATTATTTTTCAAAAAAAATCATTAATAGCACTTTGTTTCATAGAATCAGAATAAATCTATTTCACAGTATTATTTACACTAGCCAACTTTTTAATTTCATCTGAACAATCTCTAGACTGCTGCAACAAGAATGTCA